GTGTACTAGCACACAGATACTCACTCACACATGCAATGTGGTTCAAACCAACATATTGTATCTGAAAGCAGCCTTTCTCAGGTGCTGCTCCAAACAAATGCGTTGAATAGTAACTGAACGTATGCATCAAACGGTTTTGCATAGCCGGTAGGCAACAGTTTTACTTGTTGGAGCTTTCGAGTTGAGCGGTTGTAGCGGCAGTAATTGTTAGTGTTGGCAGGAAGCTAGGCGCAAGGGCGTAGAAAACCAGGGACTTTGAATAATGCTGTGCATTCACAAACATTTCAATGCAGTTGCAATAACAACAGCAACAGCAGCAGTAGCAGCAGTAGCAGCAGCAGCACTAACAGCAACGAATCAACTATGCAGCCCTCCAGAATTGAAGTGGAATTATTCATGGGATTTCACTTCGTTTGTAATGCATTTTCCTCTTTGGATGACAAGGATAAAAGAATTAACAGTGCAAAAATGATGTGCTGTAGATTGTTTGCTGTTGGAGTTGTAGGTGGTAGGTGGTAGGTGAAGTGGTGCTCAGGGTGTTTGTAGATGCGATTGTTGAAATTATATTTGTATTGTTGTTGATAAAGCGTAGACAAACTTTATATTTTGATATAAAAAGGTCAACCACTTCGTGTTACCTTTAATACTATAGTTAGGCACTGAAAAAATTATTTAAAATTAAATATCATGTCATAGGTACACAACGTTTTAATAACTAGACATTATAAATGTAGAAAATTATTCCTTTGTCCAAGAAATAAACAGGAATCGTGTCGAGAGATGCAGAGTTATAAAAAATAGTCAACTCGAAAAATATAATATAATAATATTTTCTAAACCGATAATATTACAACAATATTCCAACCGATAGTGTAAAAACAATAATTGAAAGCAATTATTCAAGACAAACACAAACATATACATAGACCGTGCAACAATAGAAGCACTATCAAAACTGGAAATACTGGCATATCTACTTAGAATGATCATAAGCTACTTCAATGACCGCATTCTAATGTATAACACGAAGGATGGTGTACAGATATATAAAGTGCCAGCAGGAGTTCCACAAGGCTCGGTTTTAGGCCCCATTC